AAAATGGCTAAAATATCTGAATGTACACTCTTAACATCAGTCAGTCAAGCAAGCATTATAATATGATAATCAATATTATTTAATGATAGAACTTTAGTAATTAGAATTAAAACTTGATAACCATGTATGAATGCATATTAGTCATTTTAACTGAACTTTGGACTGGTAGTGGTGCTTTTTTGGTCATTCAGTGTTTCTGTAAAAAAGAAAATTGGGGGGAAAACTAACAAAAATACTGATAAGATAATAATGATACGAATTCTACTAATAAGAACAATATAAAACGCACTAAGGATTAATGAGCTACTGGATTCATGAATATTAATCAGGTTGTGTGCGTTCGCTCGAACTGATTTGCTGAAATCAAAACAGGGACGATAATAGGTGAGCGCCAGCCAATGCGGAGAGTGAAACTGATGCGCTCAGTCAGAGAGTGTTCGGCGAGTGAAAATATATCTGAGCTAAACTTATACTTCGCCTCCAACTCACACACTGGCGAGTAAAATCTGATAATTTATTAGCAATTGGCTAATATTAGACATCATTTAGTCGCCCAGAGTGAAGATTTAGTCGCATATGCGAGTGATTTACTCGCAATGTAGAGGGTTGTGCATATGCATGATACAGAGAAGAAAATATCTGTCTTTTTCACTCTCACCTCTGCCTTTACCTCACATTCCCATTAAATGACAACCCCAGCCTTATCCCTGATACTCTGACTGCGTTTGCTATGCTTGTGTGGGTCTGATACCTCTCTAGTGAACATTTCCATTGTTCTAAGTCATTTATTCTCTCAGTATGGTGTGGAATGCCAGGGGGCACCCACTGGTGTGCCTGTTTAACATTAACGTTTGAAGTTATTCTAAGTGCTTCTTATTTCAGCATTCTTAAAGTTTTCCTTTTTTTGTATAAACTCTGAGGGGGGCTCTCGAATCAGGATGTCACCGAGTCCTGCTGCTGTTAAAATAATAAATGCAGGGAAGACCACATGCATGCAACAAAGCAATAACTAAAATAGGCACATTTGTGCATTCTTGACTGAGCACGTATACGCAGTACGATACGTTTATTATAGGGCCAATTGGTGCTTGAATCTTACCACAGCTGGTGATAAAGCAAGCAAGAATAATCACTCAAGGTTTGTTGTCTATTTGAGCTTAAAGTTGACCTTCTAAAAATGTTATGGTACTAATAGCAACATATTATGATAAAAGTACAAGCCTGTGTATGAATATTATCTCCCCAGAGAGGATCATGTTTGATGAGTAATAGCCATACCTGCAAAGTAAATAATGAACAGTCGTGATCAACTTTGGGGTATAGGCTCAAATAGCAGTTAACTGGCTTACTGGAAGATAGAGCAGTATTACGTATCATGTCAGGAATTTACTTTAGTTTAAACCAAACCCCCTATTTGGCTACATGTTCCCTGAAATCTGCTCTTTATGACAGAATATTTATGATTAACTCGCTTCTAGCTTGGCTCTGGAGGTAAAGTGTTGATGTGGAAAGTGTATGACTTGCCCCCCTGTGCTGATTTAGAAAGGTGAACATGCCTTTCTCATTTGGTCATTTAAGGGTAGAACACAACAAATAATATATTTGGCATTGGACTGTGTGCAGTTGTTTAGGAAATGCTCTAAGACTTTGCTCACACTTGTTTTTCAAATCGGATCTTTAGGACTGATTGTCCACACTGTCATTTTGCACATGATTAAATCAGATCCGTTTCTTTCATACAGTTAATATCCAGTATATGTGCAATGCTTACCATAGTAGTGTCTAGAAGAGGTGTGCAATGTTGTTTTAATGATGTGTGAGATGTCACTCACGTTGCAAAAACCAAACAAAACACACCTTGAGAGTCCACGCATTGGCTCCAGAATGCAGTTAGAATGCCAATAAAAATTGTTTCGAATAAAAAAATAGAGTAGAGCCATTGCAACACAAAGCTGTGTTTTGTTACTGAATGAATTTGCATTTTTTAACAAATCATTTGCAGTGTTTCCCCAAGGTTTACGACTTTGGGGGGGGGGGGGCTTTTCCTTTTCTGGACTCCTTTTTAATGGTTAAATTAAATTGTATTAATCAAAATCATGAAACGTAAACAATTTAACATAAATTTATCAAAAGTTTAGCAAAAATTACATGTTTAGGGCCCTATGAAATGTTTTATTTTTTCAAAAACAGCAAAAGCATGTTTCATTTATTCTTACAATAGCTTTATGCTTTTTTCCTCAGAAATTCTGTGTTGTGTATTCACATTTTTTAAAGGCACAAAACAGTAATTTAATCTATTTTAATTAATGAAAATTAAACAAATTTTATTTTTGGAAAATAAAGGGGATTTAATATTACAATTAAAACATTGAAGAAATATTGTATGATTATAACTTAAAAATAAGGTTTTAATAATTTTAGTAGTAGCAGTAGCCTATTATGTACATTCCACTGAACAATAGTAATATATTTCTGCCGCAATGTCATGAAGTTAAACCGAACTTTTATTTTTACGGGTTGACATGAATACCTTTACATTCCTGTGTTTATATGATATGAGCAGGTCCGGATTAACATAAGGGCTAGGTGGGGCTGAAGCCCCAGGGCCCGTGGATTGAGGGGGCCCGACGTGATTGGCTGTGCTGTGGAGGAAAGGAGAAGTAGACCTAGAACGGATTGGCCATCTGGAGCACCCAAGCTTTTCCCGGTGTGCCGATTGCCGAAATCCCACCACGCCCCCACATATTAGTGTCTGCGCTATTTCAGTCCAAATAATATGAGCGATAAAAATGTCTTTGTACTTGTTTAAACTAGAGTTGTGGGTATCTTTTAATCGCCTCGGCTCTTCCGTAGCGCATGGGAAACAAACACTAAAAGCCAAGTGATGAAACGGCACTAAGTTACCTGATTAAACCGCGCAGCGCCTGAGAACAGCTGGACCACACCGGACCGGTGTCTCCTGGTCCACCTGGTCTCCCGCTCGACACTTTCACCGCTCTATTGAAGTGATATTAAGCAGCACTTGCCCATTTGAATTCGACGCACGACACTTATATATGTGAACAGCAAAGTCTCTGTGGTGAAGCTACAATAAGCAATTTAATCCACAGCACCACACCTAAGCTATTTAACATGCAGTTACTGACACTGTAGAAATATGGCATTATTACTTCCATGGCCGCGGGTAACACCCCCCGCCGCGGGTCTGAGATTTTCCTTGTGCCCCTCGATCATCCCCAAGATACTTAATTTTTGTGATAGTTTTGTGATTAATTATTTATTCAACTGGCCAGAAATATAGCCTATAGCCTAATGCGGTTGTATTTTCCTTGCACGCCTCGCGACGCGCATCCCTACATATGCCCCTCGCACTGACAGAATTTCATGTGAAATGTTCACGCGATATTACCTTTAATTGCAAAAAAATATGATTTCAATAATTAAGAGCCTGCAATATAATGGAATATTAATATTGTTAAATGCATTTTAAGTATTCAAAATATAATTTGTTTTCATCCGTTATTTATTAATGAATTATTTATTTATTCCAATTGCCCTAACCCCAGCAAAACATGTATGGGGGACTGTGTGGGCCAGATGGGCTAAATTTTAGCACCAGTCCAGCCCTGATGATTCTCCTCTTCTAGGGCCAGAAAGAAGACCTTTTAATAATAAAACTATTTAAACTAAACTCCTTAAGGGTGCTGTATATGCTTAACAGTTGTTGCTGCTTCTGAAAACCTGTTTGCTTTGACTTCATATAATGTATTTATTCTTTTAATGTGTTGTAGGCTGGAATGTTTAGTGTGCATACTCATTGTATCTCTGTGTGTTGGAGATTTAATAAAAAAATAAACAAATTATTCCTGTGGTAGAAAACGTTGTGGCACCAAGATAGGCTAATATGGGGGCCCTTGGGTTTGCAATAGCCCCAGGGCCCTATGTGTTCTTAATCCGGGCCTGGATATGAGGATAGTTTTACTCAAATTAAACGGTAAAATGTTAATGAAGTGACATTCATGTATTTATGTCCTCATTAGTGAGACGGTTAATATCACCTGAAGCGTCACGCGCGCTTCAGTACGAGTAGTAAACAAAACCGCGTGTCTGCACCATTCATTAACACATAGACACGCAGAATTCATATTTAAATAGCTTTTAACAATAACAAATACTAGTGGGAGGGGAAACACTGATTTGAGTGAATGATTCAATCATGAAGACAGTCACTTGCATTGTTTCTGAATGAATCAGATGTTTTGAATGAATTGAATTGAGTTATAATATATGAAAAGATTGAGGAAGTGCACAATAGGCCAGCACAAAAACGCGCACAGCAAAATATTCTCAAATTATCCCAATCCCCAAAAATAAATTGTCAATATAGCACATTCTGTCTAGAGAAAAGAAAGAACCAAAAATTATACCTTTGTCTCTGCTCATGTGTATTGTGACATTGTGCCATGATACTGAATAACATAAGCATTGTTGCACTGTTGCATTTTTGTGTTTTTGCATATTCTTGCATATACTGTGTTTGAAACGGGATGCTTCATTCTTTATTCACTACACAGTGGATACATTTTAGTTTTTAGTGAAAGAGTGAACAAAAATGTGACTGGCTACTTTTAAATAGTGTGACCATTCACACTGAAACTTTAAACCAAAAATCAATTTGGTTTGGACTGGATGTGTAAAAATCAGATTTGATTGTTTTTTTGCCATTCACACTATAAACAACTAAATTGAAAAAAGTTGGATATGCCAAACATTCAGATTTTTGCTCTCTATCGGAACAAAGCATAATCGCACTGCATTACCTGACAGTGACTAGATCATTTACAAAAGGTGAATGCTTGTCCAGATATTGTCATAGTTTGTTTAGTTTCAGTCTCTCAACAAAGGGAGAGCTATTGGTACAGGTCAATTTATCTGTAGGTGATGTATGGTTGTGAAACAAAGAGATTTGATTGAGATTGAGTGTATTGTCTGTGTCACAGGTGGAAGAGGGCAGCAAGGCCACAACCACAAGACTGCAGGTTGGAGATGAACTTGTCAACGTCAATAACATTTCTCTCAGCGGCTACAGACAAGAGGCCATCTGCCTAATCAAAGGATCCCACAAGACTCTCAGCCTGATGGTGAAAAGGTAATTGATACTCAACCTCACTATCATTTCTGGGCCCATATACACCTGAGATTAAGACCTATCTGTGGAATCTGATCATAAGTGGTCAAGCTACTTTCACCTAACATGCATCAGATACTGTATACAGGTTTTTAGTGAAGGTTCTCTGATTTTGTGACAACATCAGTCTGTTATTGCACGTTGATATGCAAGCACAGAAAGTCGACTGACTGTTGCTTGCAAATATACTTCCAAAGTTTAATCTCACTGCAGATGGGACATTTTCAGCAGAATGCTCATTTATTTAAGAAGTCAAGCCTCTATATTAACTGAACATTTTAAAGCCATTTGGCAAGGTTTAAAATCATTGTTTTAGCACAATGATTGACTGGCAGGTGATCAGGGTGGTATAGCATTTATACCACAATTGTGATGTGTTTACATGCATACTACCACTGAATGAGGCCACAATGAAAGGATCTAGCTAGCAAAACATTTTGGACCCTGCTTACACTGGCATTCAGTTCAGATTGTCAGAAACGGATGTTAATGGTAGGGGTAAACAGGGTCTTTGACATTTCCTCATGTCAGTGGTAAGACATATGTGGTTGCTTACTGTTGTTTTTTTTTGTTACATGTTAAAAGATGGATTGAATATTTTGAGCAGGATTATTTGTGTTCCCATCAATATTGCATTTCCCTGTTAGGTAGAAACACCAATGAATAAATGTACGTCACAGGTAGGCAGGGAGTGAGTGTAGCCATTGGGGATTGGTGTTGTTTGGTGGAGCCGTTGAATGCTTGATGGTCCAGTTCTGCCAGATCGCTTTCTAGCACTTACAAGCAAACACTGTGAGGGGGGGAATAGAAAACTAAAATAAAACTGAATCAGTTTCATTTTTAGGTAACAATTTCTATGAAGCCCGTATTTATAATAAATTATAAGGGTATTCTTAAGGCATTATAATGAATGCATAATGCATTATAAAAAACCTGCATCCACTTTTACAATGGATTATATTTCTCATAGTTATAATGTATTATAAGTCTCATATCTTGCCATTTTTCTTATGCTACTTTACTTAAAGCGGTCAAAGACCACTTATAAGTAGTAATAATAATTTAAAAAAATTATCTCAAACAGCCATAAGATCAGATATCAGATATCAGATCAGATGAATGTGTAATATGACACATTTGCTTTGAACTATTTTTATTGTAATATCAGTTTGATTATTTTGATGGTACCCTTTAAACAGCTGTTGATAAGTGACTCTGCAACTACATATCAACTAGCGCTCATTAGAGTATTAGTATGTCTACTACTGTAAATATTTGCTAACACTTTATTTTGATGGTCAACCAACAGATAAACTGACTATAAGTGTCTTTGCAAGTACGTCAACTTATTATACCATACTAGATTCTACCATTCTTGAGCATACTAATACACTAACGAGAGTTATATGGCATGTAGTTGCAAAGTTGCTTATAGTCGATTGATTAAGGGGACCATCAAAATAAAATGTAACATATGAAACATTGCATTTTTTTCAGTTGGAGTATAAAGCCCACATCAATTATTTAACATTAGCTCCACAGGAAACACTCAAATAACACTCAACATCTAACCACTCACAAGCTGTAGTAAGATACTGTGCAGATCTTAAATAAGCAAAGTCAAGATATGATACAGTCCATTATTCTGTAAATGAAGTAGATTTAATATGGTGTTCATTGTGTGTTATAAATAATCATACTCTTAAACTTATAACCACAAATACGTAAGTATTATGAAGTATTATAACTGTTGTTATGATTATTCATGAGTTGATATAACATATTATACGTTTTTTTATAATGCATTATGCATTCATTATAATGCCTTAAGAATACCCTTATAATGTATTATAAATACGGGCTTCATAGAAAGTGTTACCCAATTTTATTTTTTATTTCCGCTATATACTGAAAGTATATGCTGGAAGTATTACTTAAAATGTTATATATACAGTGG